CTCGGCGCGCGGAGCCGGGCGCGCGGAGCTCCGGGTCCGCCCCGGGCCCGCTCCCCGCTGCTCTGCGGAAGGTGCGGACTGGACCTTACGGTGGAGGGGTGAGGGGGGGGACACGAGGACATCTGCCCAATAACAAAATCGCCACGTCCATGTCCACCGATCTCTCTTTGGATTTTTTTTGGGGGGGCGGGAGGTGGTTAAACCCCGATCGCTGAGGTTAAAGGCGGAGAGAACGATGGATGTCTCTAGACCCTTTTTAAAAAAAAAAATTCTTGGCCACGCCAGCCGGCCCGACTTGGCTCCCGCGTCAGCTCCGCGGGGCGATGCGCCCGGCCCGGCCGCCAGCCGAACGGAGGCTGCCCCGGTGTGGCCGCCCGTCGCCATTGCCCGAGCCAGCCTTACCCGGGAACAAACCCAACCCCGCGCCCGCCGAGAACGTACCCAGCCCCGCGACGACCCCCGAGCACACACCGGGCCGACTCAACGCGAGAGGTCTCGCTCAGGTTTCCCTTGCTTGTGCACACGACTTGGACGTCTGGATGGCCCGCCGGGGTTCCTCCCGCTGCCCGGCTAGCGTCTCGTAGAATCCTTTGGATTTAGAAGAATGCAAGAAACTACTTTCAAACACACGAGAGAAATTCGTCACTCGACTTTTATTTTTGTCCAGGAAAGCTGTTCTTTACATTTAAACGTTAAGTTCCAAAGGAACACTGGGCGAACTTGGCTGTTTGCCTCTGAAAAGAAAAAAGAAACAAACGTCCCTAGTGCCTTTAGGATTTTCATTGAAAGCTGAGAACAAACGTGAGCCAGCGGTGACTTTGGCAGTCCCCAGACACCTCGCCACGGATCTGCCGCTCCCTTGCACCCCCAAAAGGAAACGGGGCGCACCCATCCAAACCTTAAGTGCACCTGGGGCTTAAAACCGGTGTCCCGTGGAGTCAATACCTTGCTGGCCCCCTTTAAGCCATTCTTGATTAAAATCCCAGCTGAGGGGGAAAAAAATAGTCATCGTTGAGCGCGAACATTTCAAAGACAACCCTCATTTTGAGCACGCCGGAAGTTTTCAGCCTTGCAACTCTAGATTCTTCTTTTGGTAAAAGGTATCCCCATTCTAAGATGCCCTTCCGCCCGCTCGTCATGGGAGTCTGGGCTTCTCCCAACTTTTATGCCGTTTCTACGGGGGAAATTCATATCTATTTAAATTTTCCGAGGGAAAAGTATACTTTTGAATCGCACCATTAATCATGGAGGTGGTGGATGGGATCAGGTCTTTCTCTTTGGATGAGGCTGTAAGTGTGAGAACTGGGGGTGGGGGGATCATGTTTCCTCTTCCATTCTCCTACCCCACCCCGTAGTCCCTGCCTCCCACCTTCAGTCTGCGGTCAGTGTCTTTCCCTAAGGGATGCTTATTGGAAAGGATTGTACGAGGCTTGCCATATGTCATTTATTGTGGAGTGTTCACAAAAGCGTGACGTCATTCCGATCCTGAAGAATCCAAGACATTTATTTCAGACCCATGAAGAAAAGCTTGATTTCTTTCAAGGAACTGATATGCTTTTGCATTGTGGATGACCAAAAATAAAAATAAAAAAAGTTTGAACTCATTGTGTTTTTTTCAATTTACTTTGGCTTCCAGGAAACTCAGGGCCAATTCTATGGCCCTATACCATAAAAGAACCCACTAAAAAGAATTCAGTCCTCTTTATAACTGTGTGCCAACATCCCCCACAATGCAAGTGTTCTGTCCATTGGATAAAATGCACATTGCACTCATTTTGGGAGTTTCGAAATAGACTGAGCACTTGCCCCTACTATTGGAAACTAAAAGTCTAGGGAGGTGGACAGGCATCAGTAATTTTAGTATATCCCAGGTGGTGCTAATTCACTTGTAAGGAAGAGACATGTGGCCAAGACCAGCAGTAGTTCCCAGAGGGCAGCACATGGAAACACCTGGGGATCTTTACAGCCTCCTGTGGGGAGGCATTCTGATGCATTCTGATGTAACTGGTACCTGAAACCAAGTGGGTATCAGGCAGTTTGAAAAATCCCCATGTGTCTGCAAGATGCCTTTAAGGTTGCCTGTGACAGCCATAAATGAGAGTCTGAGCTTCCGTATTCTCAACAGCTAGGTGATTGATTCTAAGGCATAGCAAAGATGAGGGGCATCTGGTTGAGGTAAGGAGACTGAGTCAATGCTTCCCCTAGATAATGCCCTCTGATTATTTCTCTAGATGGTTTGCTTTTATTCAACTGCTGTTGGGTTTAAGTGTCCTCCTCTAGTTTGTTTTGCTTATGCATAACACTTTTTAGATTTAATTCCACACACTTTATATGGTATTGTCCTATATCAGCTTTGTGCTAGCTGCATTCAGGGCTGCTGGTCTTTGAGATAAGAGATCATCAGCAGTCCACCAGCTCTCCAATAAAGACTCCCAATTTGGCCTCTAAAGTGGTAGCTTCTGTTTTCGTGACTGAGTTCCCTTACAACATGGTCTAACATTATATTCCTTTGTATGTAATCTAGGACCTAGATTATTCCTTTTTTATATTCAGTTTGGAGGATATTTCACATTACAAATGCCTTGTGGAATCAGGTAAGATATGAACAAATATACTTAATGTAAATTTTAAAGTACAGGGGGGTAATCACAAATAAAGACCATTTCATGTGTGGTTTCTTTGGGTTTTGTTATTGTTCAAGGGATACTAGGGTTTGAACTCAAGACTGTGCACTAGCTAGGCTGGAGCTGTATTTGAACCACACTTCAAACTCACATATAAGAATCATTTAAATGTTCAACCTCTCCACAAAGTATTGAGTTGTCATAGCAAAATTATGTGCATCTTAATCATACGTAGGTCAAAGTCAAAACACTTTCATATCATTTCTCACGAGATATTTTTCTTCAGTTTTGGATGGTGTCTTGTTCTTGTTTTTTATTTGTTTTTTTAAAAGGCTGAGAAGGAATTGGTGGATCATATGTGTAATTCCAGCTACTCAGGAGGCAGAGATAGGGAGGAAAGATCACTGTTCCAGGCCAACCCTAAGAAAAACAAGAAGTCCAGCTCAATCAATAAAGGTGTAGTGAGCTGTAAGTACCTGTGATTATGTCACCTGTGAGCAGTTTAGAGGTGAAGACTGCAGATTCTTGGTGTCTCCAGCAAAGACTTGAATGAAAGTGGCAAAGCAAGGAGTGAAGGAGAGGGAGAAAGTACTTTGTTACTGGAAACAGTGGCCTGAGTTAGGTGGGACAAGAGCAAATGAATACTTAAGGAAATTTCCACTTTCTAGGATTTGGAGCAAGTGGGAGGAGTTCATGGTAATGATAGTGGGCTGATCTTAGGGAAATAGGGACCCTCAGGCTGGAAAGGTGGCTCAGTGGTAGAGTGCTTGCCTCAAATGCATGAGGCCCTGGGTTCAATTCCTTAGCACCACATAAGCAGAAAAAGCTGGAAGTGGCGCTGTGGTTCAAGTGGTAGAGAGCTAGCCTTGAGCTGAAGAGCTAAGGGACAGCGCCCAGGCCCAGGGTTCAGGCCTCATAACCAGAAAAAAAAAAAAAAAGAAAGAAAGAAAAAAGAAAAGAAATAGAGGACCCAGACTTGGGCAGAGTTTTATAGGGGATCTGAGCCTGTACAGGGCTACCATCCCATAGTTTTAAGTATATGTATGAGATACATATATGTTGGAGTTTGCCACACAAAGATCAGGCTAGTGACACAACGGATTCTACTCAGTTTGATTACATCTTCCCCTAGGAGAAGTCCTAACTACAAACTGACCACTCATCACCCACAAGGCTGTGGGACATTCTAGGGAGGAGATAGACCTCATGGATTGTGGAGAGCTGCGGGAGCCGCATGGCCCGGCTGCGACCAAAGATGGCGCTGGCTCCTGCCTTCAGCCTTTCCGGTGAGGAGTGCTCTCTGTAAAAAACAACTCCTTATATGGCTATGACTTGGCTCCTTGTTTGCAGCCCTATGGGTATATGCTACGTGGCGCTTCGGGATTGGCCATCCAGGAGGCTTATAACCGGAGGGGGGGGGGGGAGAGAAGCGGGAAGAAGCGGGCAGAAGAAGCGGGCGAGAAGATGTTGTAAAAGGTCCTGAATAAACCGCCTGAAAGAAGAACCTGTTGTAACGTCATCCTTGCGGGTCATCCTTGCGGGTCATCCTTGCGGCATCCTTGCGGGTGGAGGCGGTCGTGACAATGGATGTCTCCTGGAGAGGGACTAGGTGAGTGGGTTGGTTTCAAAATTCTTTCCCTATAGCTAACCTGCTTCAAACCCAGCTAATCAAAAACTGTAAGTCGGAGGATCAAGGTTCAGGTTGACCTGGGGAGAAAAATGGAGACCGTATGTGAAAAATAACCAAAGCAAAAAGGAGCTGGGGACATGGCTCAAGGGGTAGAGAACCTGACTAGCAAGCGCAAGGCCTTGACTCAAACACTTATTA